GTCACCTTGGCCTGTGTACTTGGCCAGCGACGGGTACGGGAACACCGGGCGACTGCGCGTGAAACTAGGCGCCACTGGCTGAGGCATCCAGGGCGGCAGGTCGTTGTTCATATCCGTGCTTGTGATGATCTTGTGTGGTGCACTACCTTGCTCTACCCACTCTAACAACGGCGTTACCAGATCAATAGCGGCCATTCCTTCGCCGTGACCACAGTGTTGCACACCAGGAAGCAGGTAGAGCCGCTCGAATTCCGCCATTTGCTCTGCACCCAAGTGCTTCTGTAGAGCTTCGTGGTACGCGATGGTCGTCCGAGGCGAAATGTGTTCATCTGACCAACCGTGCCAAAGTATCAGTTTGCCTCCAGCGTTCTTAAACGCAGTCAAATCTGGACTGGTGGCATCCAGTAGCGGGTGTCGAGCTCGCAGAAGTTCTACCGTCGCTTCCGTAAACTCAAGGTCATTCAGCGAGTATGACTCTGGAGGGTTTGGCTCGAAGATCAGATATCTTAACGCTGCGAGAGCGATATGAGCACTCATGACTGGTTGACGTGGCCCGCTTGGTACAAACACGCCTTCCCACGCGAGTTCAGAGCCGAATTGAACATTCCCCACGGTGAGATGGCTACCCGTGACAGGATCGACTGGTCCATTGTAGAATTTATGAATCGTTTCCACTTCTGCCTCCGTCAAGCACTGCTGATCAACTTGCACAGCAGATTCTGCATCGCACAGAAGATCACGAGGATCAAACTTACACAGTCTCGGGTCGGAGAGCAACCCGTCGACCAGACCATCTAGTGCGTCGCAAGCCCGAACGACTGCAGCATGTAGCAGAGGCAGCTTGGAAGCCGTCACGATGGCTGTAGGACCGCTAGCCGGCAAACCGTGCTCAGGCAGGCCACGTCGGGGAGGACCGTGCTCTCGCCCTTCAGGTCCTGGAGGCGGTCCCCGCATCATTGGTGGCAACTCGGGCATCGGTCCGTCGATGTTGCTCATTGCCAGCCAGCCGTGGTGTAGACTATTCTGGAACTGGAAGAGCATGGCGGGTGCTCCGGCCAAGATCCCGTCGAAGTCGTTCGGGTATCGCATGGCCTCCATCACGCCTTCACGACCGCCATCCGAGCACCCGTTGAAGTACGAATATCGCGGCTTCTGTCCGTAGTACGCCTGCATCAACGTCTTGCTCACCAAAGACGTCAAATGCTGCGCACTGTACGCGAACGATTTCCGACGGCCAGGGTTGTTCGCAAACACTTTGCCGTCCATACCTCCGCCCATGTCGGTCGCTGCCAACGCAAGTTCTCCTCCACTGACTTGTTGCGATCCAGAGGCCGCGTTTACTTGCATCCGGATCATACCGCAAAGTCCTCC